AACTTATCATTAACTTACAAAGCTTTTGTATATAGTTTTGATAGCGTGCAGATATTCAAGTTGATTCATGAAGCACACCAAAGTCCAGAATGAAGAAAACAATTGAAGAAGAAATCCAAGCTCCCAAGTTAAATGACACATGGACACTTACAAAGCTTCCTCCAAATAAAAAACTAGTTGGATGCAAATGGGTGTTCAATTTTAAGTGCACAACAGTGGAGCAATGAGAGGTTTAATGCAAGGTTGTTGGCCAAAAGTTTCATTGTTTTATGAGATATACTATCAAAAGACGTTTGCTTTAGCGACCAAATTAAACACTGTAGGAGTTCTTTTTTCCTTAGCAATGAATAAAGAGTGAGAGCTACATCAATTGATATCAAGAATGCATTTTGAATGGAGACCTGGAAGAAGTGTATATAAAAATGCCCCAAAGACAGAAACACGACTCAAATAAACATTAGGTTTGTAGAATAAAAAAAGTCACTTTATGACATCAAATAATCGTCGATGGATTGGTTTGATAAGTTTGCCTCCATGTAAGAATGCGATGTCAGTCTATGTTGATGATATGATCTTGACAGATGATAATGACAAAAAGATTGAAACTATTAAGGAAGTTCTTGCAACTACTTTTAAAATTAAAGATCTGGGAGTGATGAGAAACTTCTGGGCATGAAAATGACAAGGTCCAAGATGAGTATTGTGATATCCCAAAGAAAATACATCCTAGGCTTACTAAAAGAAAGATGAATGCTAGGGTGCAAATTTGTTGAAACTCTCATGAATTTCAAAAAAAAAACATTACATTCGGGGGGAGAAAAGACCTAAGTGGAAAAAGGTTGATATTAGAGTTTGATGGTGTCATGACCAAACCCGATGCTTAAAGTTAAATAAGGCTGATACAACAGTTAGACGGTACGAACATTTGATTAACTATCCACATATTTTAAAACTTCTAGTACATATAAAAGTGTCACTAATCCACAAAGTGCAATAACAATTTAAATCATCCAACAATAAAATCCACAAACAACATTTCAATTCAGTACTGAACAGTAAATCAACATCTGAAACAAATAGTAAAGAGACACCATTATCATAAAAAAAAATATGTAGCAACAGCGATACTCCACTGGTAAACAAAGTCTTTCCTACTAAACATATCAATCTAAAACTTTTCTTCTCCAGAAAAAAAATTAATTACAACTATAAGTATAACTTAATCAGTAATTATAATGTAATATGCATTAAATTCTTATGTTATTGTATACATGAATGACAAAAAAAAATGCAGTTAATTTTATTAAAACTTTAAATTAATCCCTTCCAGTTTTAGTTTAAGTATTTATCTTTTTTAACCTTTTTAAAAGTTATGACAAAATTTCTATCTTACACAAAGATATCCCCAAAAATGTGTCTGAAATTGTACTCGAGAGTACACATTTACTATTTCCTTTAACGTGCACAGATACATTGCATCCCCTGCCAGTAACATTTGAAGGTAATTTTGTATGACTTAAACATTTACCTTTCATTTCATTTTCTTTAAATTAACTTTTTTTTTAAAGACATTAAACATTCAGTTTCCCTTTTCCAGTTCATTTACTTTCATTCTTAAGCTACAATATGCATATAATCATAAAATAATTGTCTAAAACATTAAAGAAATTCTTTATTTAATAAGCTTTAAATATAAGAAAATAATTACTCAGATTCCAAAATACTTCTCATCTACTAACTTGTACAACCCCTATATTAAATGAATGTGATATCATTTGATAAAAATCATATTTTTAAAAGAAATATTTAATGTATTTAATGACAAAATTAAAATGACACAAGTCATTACAAAATTTCTTACCTTAAAAGTTTGATTTGTTTCCTGCACAATATTCCCCTTTTTCTTTTACACCTTTAATTGATTCAGCCTCAAATCTTCTACTTCTTAATATTTGATTAATTTAAATGTGTCATTAGCAATTAATATGTAAACAAATAGTTTTAATTTAAACAAATTTACATCATAAGAAATTAAATACCCAGAAGATTTGGTTCTTACCGTACGCATCTAAATCCCAATTTTACACACAGGGTATCAAAATATTCCACTTATAAAATCTAATTCAAGTGGACTTAATATTAACACATAAATTAAACAAATTCACACTCACACATTATAGCACATAACAATAAAAATAAATGAATTTATTAAAAATCTTAATTATACCTCAAACTTTCGGTTTGCCCCAATGCACGTGAGCTCAACAACAAGGAGCTTTCCCTCTTCTGCTATGCGAGCACAACACTTCTTTGACTTCTTCTTCCGTCGCAATTCATCCCAACAGAGGACACAAATCTTACTCCCCTCTTCCATCGGCCTCGATTCAATCCAGAGCTACTCGCCTGCGTCTTCTTCCTCTTCGTCGACCTCTTCTTACACCTCACACGAGCACTGTACCAGCGCACGAAGCCGATCCTCTTTCTTCCTTTTCGTCGTTGCTCAAGTAAGAACAATTTCAATTGTGTGCGATAAGCTTCGCACGACGAAGAAAACAACACGAACCTTCCTCCTTCGGATTCCTCCTTTTCTTCTTCTCTCACAAGCAAGCCGAGAACTTTCCTTCTCCTTTTCTTTTTGATTCTCCTCCTCCTTTCTTGGCTAGGGCACGCCACTGTAGAATAGCACAACTTCTTCCTTCTTTTTTCTTTCTTTGCCCATGCCGCTTCGTTTCCTCTTCCTCGCTAGTTATGTTTGATTCGATCGAATGAGAGTTGTGCGGTTATGTTATAACTAAAAGATGTGTTAGTTTATTAATATTAATAATAATAATAATATTATTATTATTACTTTTTACTATTAAAGGTGAAAAAACTTATTTACATGTCACACATTAGGCCTGACATTGCTTACTCTGTCAGCATGGTGAGTCAACACAAGAACATTTAAAAAGAATATTTGAAGATGGTGTACATAAAATTAAGATTTTTTTAGAAAACTCTTGACAAAGAATTGTTATTAAAGAAATTTGACAATAGTTATGAAGAGATGAACATTGATGCTAGCTCGGCAGAAGAACTCACGAACAAAAGATCCACCTCTGGGTATTATTTCCATATCTAGGGAAATATTGTCACATGGTGGAGCAAGGAGCATGCAGTGGTCTCTAGAAACAGTGCGAAATATAAGTATCAAACATTTGCTTTGGAAATTTGTGAAGGAATGTGGATTCATAGGGCACTAGATGAGCTAGGATACTCCATTGATCAATCCATAAATATGTTTTTTGATAGTCAAACTACCATCAAAATTGCAAAGAATTCCCATGTTAGGACCAAAAAAATTGAGTTTGATAGACATTTTATTTCTGAGAAGGTCAATGGAGACATTATTTACTTAATCTACATTCTTACTAATCTTCAAGTTGCTGCTGTATTCACAAAATTTCTACCTCCAGTTAACTTTAAAAATCTGAACACTAAGCTTTGTCTCTTCAACATCTATGACTCAACTTGAGGGGTAGTGTGGAATTCAGTGTTTCCCATTTAGATTTATCCTCATTTATTTCAGTATTATGTTTGTAGTTGTTTCTTTATGTGTTTGTTGTATCTTTAGTAAGTTGTAATTGTAGGAATTATGTTTTTCCTAGAGTTTACTCTCAATATAACGAGAGGAGATGTAATTTGAAGATTAAGGAAAAAAAAGATTTGTTCCTCTCAAGTTTTCTTTCACTTATGATGCACGCATAATCAAAACTATGTTAACTAAATCCCCAAAAATAAATTCATACTTCAAGGTCAAGTAAGCTTAACACGCGGTTTCTGAACCATAGGAATCATACAAAATTACTTCAAAAACACCAATAAACTTTTCTAAAAGCATGCCTATCATGATCTTATATTTTCATGTTAAAGAAAAATCAACCTGCTGAAGCACAAGCTAATTATGGCTGAAGTTTTAACAAAATCAATAACATCATAGGTTTTCAATCAAGACAGGCCAAACGGTAAATTCATTATACAAAAAATCAGTACATGGTTAATTAGGGTCTGTTTGGGGCTGCTTTTTTCACACGGCGCGGCCCCAAACCGTGACATTTCGTTGTTTGGATGCCAACTTCGCGGCCGCCGACTGCTAAAGCTGGATGAAAGCGGGCCGCAGGATCGACTCTGCAGCCCCGCATTCGCACCGCTAATATTACCTATTTCCCCACGATCCCAATTGTCTCGCACACGCCCCCTGTCTTCTGCCCTAGCGTCCCGCCTGGTGTTCCCAAGCCTTCTCATGTAGCCCATGCGCCTTCTTTTTCCTCAACTAAGAACGAAGCCCGGAAGCCTGGTCATGGAGATCAATCACATTTTTAAGTTCATATGTTCCAATTATGAATCCCCATGCCAAGGTTGTCCAGCAGTGGAACAGATTATATATACTTTTTCAAATGTTCTAGATGAAATAAAAATACTCTTTCTTTAATAGAAAGTTACTGACGACATATAATTATTAATTTATTTGTAATTTTATTATTTTTTTTCTTTTTCTATAGCACTTTTTGTTCTCCCTGTTAAGTGAGTTGTGTATCTGAAATTTTCTTTTATTTTAAAATAAATTTTTGCTTTTGAAATGTCAAATATGTGACTGTCAGAGTTCAATTTTAAACAACTTTACTAGATAGAAACAGAAATATCATTTTTCTAGAAACAATTGCCCCACAGCTGTTTTCACACAGCTGTAATAAACATACAACTAACATTCCCGCAACAACTTCTCCACAACAGCTTTTTGAGGTAGCGCAGCTGCAGTTGAAAAGCTGAGAAGCTACAGTTGCCCCAAACAAACCCTTAATCATTGATGGGTTGGCAACAAAGCCTAGAACTTAAATAAATGCACATTAAAAGCAAGCAGTATACTTGCTGAACAAACTGACCATACATGGCAAAATGGTTGAGATAGCAATCATAGCAGCTTCAAAAATTAAATTAAATGAGAAAAAAAAAACGCTAACCTTGAGTAATCCCAGTTCCAAAATGAATCCCATTATCATTGGGACAGCAGTGAAAACACCAATTTGTACCAAGAACTGAGCATTTAAAGCAGCATCCAGTGCAGTGTTTCCCGAAATCTTAGCTTTGAACGAGATGGCTGAATCAAGCCCAGAGAGTGCCTATAAATATTGTAGCTAAGTTCATATAAGGTCGGGCAAAATTAAAACTTATGATTGTTCTTCGGAGAAGGAAAACATATATATGAGAAAAAGAGAGAAAGAGAGAGAGAGAGAGTGTGTGTTATTTAAAGAATTATATCCCGAAGACTAAAGTTAGGATTGAAAATTTTATAAAACAGCTGAACCAAGAAAAAGAGTCGAGGATGGTGAACTTACAAGGTATACTCTTCCGTACAGGAAAATATAAACAGTTAGAACAGTCATCTGAATCCCCAAAAATTTAAAAAACACGGGATAAGAAAAAGTTCAACACCAAGTCAACATGACATGTCAAAATAAGCCAATAATATAGCATTACCATGGTGCATACGTAGTAACCCACGGTGGTAAAGAAGAAAGACAGCATTCTAAAGAAATCAAAAAGCTGCCCAATACGGTAGACGTCCCTACTTAAAACTTGCTCTCCATTTCCACCAGCCACTTTTCCCTCAAACAACGCAATTTGATTCAACCCAACATCCCTACCTTTCCCAACCTGAAAATTTTGAAATGTTTCAACAACTATTTCTAAAAAAAATAGTAGTTAATGAATAGCACGCGTTACAAATTGCAAACATAACCTGAATATACTCGTGGTGCGTAATATTTCCCTGCCGCAAGGTAGAGTTGAACCCTGAAATGTATCTTGCTAAGATTAAATGTAGGCTACAAAAAATTGGTGTTCCATACTTGCCGGTTAATTGTATATATATATATAATCATTGATATATATATATATGTTTAAGTGTGTGTCTAGATGTGTATGTATGTATATGTATGTATATGTTATGTAAGTTTTGAAAAAGAAAAAAATATTATTCCCCTTCAATTTCATAGAAAAAGATTAGAAGTTACAAAGAGGAAGATGGCTCACCAATTAAGAAAACAATAACATCAATCATAACTCCCCATGATAAAAAAAAGAAACAAGAATTATGACATACCAATAAAATAAAAAATTAGGGCATCCTAGCTTTTCATATCTCAAATCTTTATTTCCTGAACTATTTAAAAGTATTGATTGTTCAAAACTTCATTGTGAAGTGTGTAATTTTTCTAAAAGTCATGTGTTTCGTTTCTAATAAAACGTTTGATTTCTAATAAAACCATATTCTGCTTCAAAACCATTTTATTTGTTGCATAGTTATGTTTGGGGCTCATCCAAAGTTAACACACTTTCAGTAAAAAAAAGTGATTTGTAACCTTTATTGATGATCACACATGAGTTTGTTGGATTTATTTATTGGAAAAGAAATCTGAAGTTGAACAACGATTTAAATGTTACTTTCACATGCTTGAAAATCAATTTCAAACAAAAATTGACATTCTAAAAACGGATAATGAGACTGAATACTTCAACAAATATTTGAGGACATTTATTTTGAAAAAAAGTGTTCTGCATCACTCCACTTATCGTGATACAACACAAAAAAATAGTATTGCTAAAAGAAAAAATAGACATTTACTTGAAGTTACCCAGACGCTTATGTTTTCAATGAATGTTCCTAAATATCTTTGGGGTAATGCATTCCTTACCTCATGTTATTTAATAAACAGAATGCCATCTCGAGTTCTGAAATTTAAAACCTTTTACAAGTCTTAAAAAATTATTTTTCCACATCTAAGATAACAGCTAATTTCCCTTTAAATGTTTTTGGATGTGTTTGCTATGTGCATGCCCCAAATATGTTTACGCTCAAAACTTGATACCAAAGCTGAAAATGTGTTTTTATTGAGTATGCTTCCAATAAACGTGGGTACAATTGCTTTAATCCTGCAAAAAAAAAAAATTGAGAGCATGAATGTCAAGTTTGTCAAGGATCACCCATTTTTTCAAAATAATTTTCTTCAGGGGGAGAACTTAGTTGAAGAAAATAATTTTTGGGAAACTTTACCCATTTCTTTAACTATTTCGAATATGGAAACTAGGGTCAGCACTACTAATCCTACTTTGCCAGATGTTATCTTATCAGATACAGGGGGAGAAGTACTTCCAACGAATCATAATCCTCAACATGAGCTGCAGATTTATACTAGGAAGAAATTCCATAAAGTTACTACAGCTCCAGTTATTTCCCCAACAGATGTTCAATCACCTTTGCCAAATAATGCACCTACAACTCAGAGTAACCTTCCCTCTAATTCCACTCATTCTGATCTTGATCTTCCAATTGCTTTCGGAAATGAAATCCGAAGAAATACGAAACATCCTATCACACAATACTTGTCATATGAAAAGCTATAAAAAAATCATAGAGCATTTGTGTCTAGGATTTCTAATATGTTTGTTCCAAGAACAACTCAAAAAGCATTAGGTGAACCGAGTTGGAAATTAGCTGTGATGGAAGAAATAAAAGCTCTTAAAAGAAATAACACTTGGACAGTCATGGATCTACTTAAAGACAAAAAGACGGTGGTGCTCACGGTGAAGTTTAAAGCTGATAGAAGTGTGGAGAGATACAAAAGGAGACTAGTAGCAAAAGGAAAACTCATGGTATTGATTATCAAGAGAATTTTGCTCCTGTTGCTAAAATTAACTCTATTAGAGTACTTCTTTCTCTTACAGTTAATTTCAACTGGCCACTTCATCAATCTGATGTAAAGAATGCGTTTTTAAATGGAGAAAAACGAGAAGAAGTATATATGGACCTGTCACCCGGATTTGAAGAAAAATTTGGAAAAGGCGAAGTGTGCAAATTAAAAAAGTCTCTATATGGGTTAAAGCAATCTCCTCGAGCTTGGTTTGAGAGTTTTGGTGATGTTATCAAGAGACATGGATTCACTCAAAGCCAAGTTGATCTGTGTGTGTGTGTTGAAATTCACGATAATGAGAAATAAAACAAAATAATTTTATTGATATGAAAAGATGTAATAAATACCCTTGCATGAATCATAAAATAAGAAAAACAATAAAAGAAAATAACATAAAATAAAAAAGCCAAAAATAGAATGAAGATAACCCTTAATAAAAAAAAAATATAAAATTGGAAAGTAAATAACTCTTAATCTAAGGAAATAATTTATTCCTCATAAGTTCATACAGAAATAAATTATTTTCTAATATAACTTCTAACACTACCACTCAAGTTTAAACATAGTTGAAAATCATGTTCAACTTGAATTTGAAAACATTAAACAATGGACAAGCAAGATCCTATGAATTAGAACTTGAAGTCTTCGTCCCATTCTGCGACTGTCTTTAACTGGAGTTCTTGTGGTGTCTGTGGGTGGGTGGAAGACTCCTACATATACTATTGCAGGGATGTTTGTGGGGATAAACATAACACCAGTTGTACTTCCTGAAGTGTTTGTAGGCAGACGGAAAGCTCCTACAAGAAGTGCTGCAGGGGAGTTTGCAGGGAAGTAGACAACTGTGATTGTATTTAACTGCAGTTCCTGCAGTGTATATAGATAATGCTGCAGGGGAGTAGACAACCAATAGGAAAAAGTTGCAGGGTATGACCCGCAGAAAAAAAAACATAAAAGGTAGACCTCGTTGAAAGAAAAGGCTCCTGAGGGGGACGTGCTGTTGGAAGAATTTAGGTGGAGAGTGCTGCAATTAAAGTTTCGGAGGAGAGCTTGATACAAGAAATAGCTCCGAAGGACCTGCTGTACGGAAAGCTCCGGAGGAGGGTCTGCAGTTGAAAAGTTCTTAAGAAGGGTTTGATTCAAGAAAAAGTTCCGCAAAAGAGCTTGATGCAATAAAAAGTTATGAAAGAGGGATTGATGCAGAGAAAGGCTTCGAAAGAGGGCCTGCCGCACGAAGAATTCCATTGGACCTGCTACAGGAAAAGCTCCGGAGGCGGGTTACTGCAAGAATGGTTCTCAAGGAGGGCCTACTGCAGAATAGATTTCCGAGGAGAGCCTAATAAAAAAAAAAGTTTTAAATGGAATGCTACAGGAAAAAGTTCCGGAGAAGGGTTTGCTGCAAGAAGAATTCCGAAAGCCCAGATGACGATCCTGAGTTGGAGAAGTAAGAGGCTGAGAACCCTAGCCGTGTCGAAAAAGGAAAAAAAATACTTCACTTGCCCATGTCTCATCGCCCCGCTCTCTGACAGAAAGATTGGCGTCCTCTTGAACCTTGCTACCAAGAATCCTGTCATTTACCTTGAGTTCCCGCGGGCCCGGATGAAGCTTTTTGGTACTCATGTTTATCCGAAGAACAAATACCTAACGCCGCAACTCCCAAATTGGCAAAAGGAGTGATGTAATTGAAACAAATGAGTTGAAGGTCAATGTTGAAGCTGATACAAAGCCAAAGGTCCAACTTTCAGAAAGAAATGATTTGGGTATAGTAGGATCAACTGTTTGTTCTCAGAGAATGAAGCGATTGTCACAAAAGGAAATTTATCTGAAAAAACAAAACAATCCTTGGAAAAGTCCACCAGAAAATCTCCTAATAAAAAAGGGACGCTAGTTCAAGCTAGTTTATCTTCTCTATTTGAAAAAGTTGCTAAGAAGAAATCTAAGCGGGCTGTGAATGGCACCCTTGAAACAAAAGGCTCTAGTGGTAAAAGGTAATGACTTCTTGCGAAGGAAAAAAAAAAAAAAAACTTATTTAGTTCTGGTCAAAGCTTCGAGTAGCAAAGCGAAGAAGTCTAGCAGAAAGAGTGGGACTGGATTTAGAACTGCAACAATGAAAAAACAGTCTAAGGAAGCAGATGATTAGAGTGAAGATATTTCAAATGAATCTCAGGATGAAAATGAGATGAAGATGAAGATTGGGTGGCATGATTAGTAATGATTTTCTGGAGGACGGTGGACTTCCTTGATGTAAACATCTTTGCTAGTTATGGGAAAAAACATGATACAAACAAGGAGAGAATTCATTTCACCTAAGGATAGAGAACGCAAGCAATTACTGTCATATCTTTCACACCTAATATCTCCAATAATCAATTTATAGTAATTATTTGAAGATAAAGTAAATAACAAAAAATAGGAAAGCCTAAAATAAAAAGGAAAAAACTCCTAATCTAAAGAAATAATTTATCCTTCAAAAGGTCTCATAGGAAACTATTTCCTAATATAGCTTCTAACAATATATATATATATATATATATATATACACACACACACACACACACATATTCTGCGGTCGTCTTCGTTTCTCCGTTCCTGCGTCTCGTCTGCGACAGAGCCGCTCGACACCTTCCTGCTTCTGCTGCGTCTCCTCTGCTACAGAGCCGCTCAACCGCTCGACACCTTCCTGCTTCTGATGCGTCTCCTCTACAACAGAGACGCCCGGTCTGCTTGGCATTGCCTCTGCCGTCTGCGACAGAGCCGTTCGACACTCGTGCGGCTTCTCACTGTGCTTCAGGTTGGCACTGGCTGCGGTAATAGACTCAAAGCTTTCCTATGTCACTGCCCTCGCCGGTGATAACCCTGCCAAACTCTCCTATGTTATAGTGGTTCACAAACGCAACTCCTTTTTTCACCTCATAGATAGTGTGAAATTCCCGCAGATTTACCATGATTATGGTGTAGAAAATGACGATTGCAATTTCATAAAAAAAGTAGAGAAAAAGGCGGACAAACCAGCAATTTCACCTCGCAGTTGGTTCACAAACACAACTCCCCTTTTCACCTCACAGATAGTGCGATATTCCCGCAGATTTGTCATGATTCTGTTGC